CACCCCTGTGCCCAGGACGGAGGGCAGAGCCCCCCAGAGCAGCTGAGGGGAACCAGGGCTGCCCAGGCAGGGCACAGCCCCCGGTCCTGCTGAGGTAGATATGGCAACGTGCAGGGGCCGGGCCTTGGGGGGAGCCCAGGCTCAGCAGCCTCCTGGGCCCTCCACACTCCCAGGCCAGACCCTGTAATTTCTTCTTTCCAAGCAGGGAAGGCTCTTCCCTCCTCCTCTGGCAGCCCTGGCTGGGTTCTAACAGAGGAAAGGAAAGATGAGTGCCTGACTAAAGCCCCAGCTCGGGCACAAGTGGGGCTGGTTAGTGAGACTGGACCACGCTGGGCTGGTCCCACTCTGGGCTGGTCCCTGTGCTTCAGCCTCCCCAGGGATCCAGCTCCCCTGCACAGAGGCAGCACCCAGAGCTCTCCCTGGTGCCAGGGCTGGGTGAGCTGGAGGAGCCCACAGGAGCCCTGGGCATGGGTGAAATGTGAGAGGAGCAGCAGAGCTCCAGCACTGCCCACATTCCCAGCTCCCTGGCTCGGCTCTGGGGGCACACAGAGCCAGGAGGGTGGATGGGTGCCCAAGCTGATTGCCTGCTGGCTCCTCAGCTCAGCCCTGGCCAGGCACTGCACCCAGGCCAGCAAAAGGAACACAGGAAAGGATAACTCAACGTTTCTGGCCAGGCACGGGACAGCAGAGCAGATTTCAGATGGGAATCCCACCCAGGAGCACAGCAGCTCCCAGGAGCCAAACCCCTCCTCAGGCCAAGCCCACCCCACACACAGGCTTTGATTCCAAGGGGAATGAACAGATCCATGAGTATGTCCCAAACCATCCCCCATGTAGCAGGGATGCTGGAAGGACAGGGGAGCTTACCCTGAACCTCACCTGCAGCACACAGCACCCAACAACCCCAGAGCAACCCTGCCCTGCCCTGCTGCACTCCCCCAGCCCTGGAGCAGCCACTTGCTGGGCCAGCATGGAGAAAGAACCAAAGAAAACAACCCCAAACCCCACGAGGATGCTGGAAAAGCTCTTTTCCATACCAGGCCTCCACCCCACAGAGCTGGGCTTCGGCCATGAAGCAAACAAAGAGAAGCCAACAGTACAGAAGCAGTAAGGCCGAGCTGAGGAAGGACATGAGTGCTCCCAGAGCATGTGGGAGCCTCTGGCTCTCCAAAGCTCTCCAACCAGGGAAAAGCCCTCTCTGCGAGGGGCTGGACGGGCTGGGAAGGAGAGGGAGCTACAACTGCCTTCCAGAACACCAAACAGTGCTGGGGCAGTCAGAACAACATGGGAACCAAACGAGATTCTCCCTCGACATAAGGGATTTCCACACAATCAAGGGGTGCTGTTCCCACCAGGATGTCCTTGCTGGGCACAGTCAACCAGAAGGACCTGAAACACATCTGAAAGCTCCAAACCAGCCTTATTTGTACCATGTGCCAGCCAGGGCTGGGCAGCAGCCGGGGACAGCCACCATGGTCCTGCACACTCCTCCATCCCACAGCAGGAAAGAATGAAAACAGCTTTGCAGGAACAATTCACTTCCTTCTCCTCCTCCTTTTTTTTTTTTATGTTTGTTGGGTTTTTTCTTTCATTTCACTTTACGATTATTCCATTTTTTTTCTTTTTAAACACACAGCATTTCTTCCAGAAGGCAAACCCCTCCAGAACTTCACATCCTTTTTGTTTTTGCGTTTGTTTTCTTTAAGGCGTCACCAGAGTCGACCAGCCGGGATCCAGCTCAGCACAGCTTGGCTTTCACAGAGCTCCTCCTCTCTCTCCCTTCACAGCCAGGGGGGCTGCACGAGCTCTAGGTAGAGTGCAGGGGGATGACAAATTTGCAGCCAAAGGGGGAGTGGTAGTTGATGCCCACCTCCTGGAAGACCTTCTGGGGAATGCCAATGTCACAGAGGTAGACGCGGCCGGCGCGCTCGCCCAGCGGCAGCGGCAGCCCCAGCGCCAGCGACCACTTGGCATCGATGCCCAGCTCCATCTCGCTGATGGGGGGGTCTATGCTCAGCACGGGGGCACGGTTCTGGTTGGCCCAGTCCACCACTGCTTTGTACCAAGGCTGGTCTCTCAGAAAGGCATTCTCGTGACAATCCAGGCAGTTGATCACTAAGTCAACCGGGGTGTCTGGGAGGTCTGCAAGAAACACGGACACGGCTGAGAATCGGCGGCACCGGCTGCAGGTTTGGGGTTTGGCTTCCACTCTTTATGAACAGCCTGGCCTCACCTGCTGGCACTGCCATCCTTCCCTCCCAGACCCATCCTGAGCAGCTCTCCAGCACTCTGGGGACACCCCCAGCCTGGCAGGTACAAAAGCTCACCCACGACCAGCTCATGAGCAGCCTCAGTGTCACTGACCCACAGTGCAGGCAGCCCAGTGGAGCAGTGGGGCTCTCTGCCCACCAGGAAGGACCTTTTTCTATTCCACACGGTGAAAATAAAGCTGGTTTTTGGAACACACCAGCTGTGCTGCACTGCTGCCCGTCCCACTGAGCTGTCATTCTCACCTCTTGCATTCTCCACTCCTGCTGCATTCTCTCACCTGATGGATCACAAAGTCCTTTGTGCAAAACCATGGAATGGTTTGGTTTGAAATAAACCTTAGAGTTCATCTCATCCCATCCCCTGCCATGGGGAGGGACCTTCTACTATTCCAAAGTGCTTCAAGCCCCACCCAGCCTGGCTTTGGACACTTCCAGGGATCCAGGAGCAGCCACAGCTGCTCTGAAAAATTTATTCCAATCTTTTACAATATTTTCACACAGGCAAGTAGCTCTGTCAGCACAGCACAGCCCTAACTCCCAGCTTTGTTTCTCCCCAGAAGTTCAAATGAAGCAGCTTGGAAAAGGACTGGTGAAGTGCCAGGCAGCAGCCAGCATCCTCCCAGGAGCTGTTTATTCTAGGGAATACCCAGATGGGAATCCTGACAGCAGAGCTGGCTCCTGCTTTGCAGCAGCAGCTGGACACTCATTCCCTCCCAGCTCCAACATGCTGAACAAGGCAGCCCCTCATGCTGCCAGCACAGCTCCATCCAGCAGCTCTTCCTCCTCTCTTCCCACCGGAAACATCTGTGGCAGCACAAGCGCTGCTCTGTCGAGGCTCGGAGCGCCTGCTGTCCCTGCAGCCTCTGGGCAGCCACCCAGGCGTGGCACTGCCACTAGATGGTGCCAGGGCAGCGGGCAGAAGGCAGCTCTGCTCCCTGGAGAAGCCAGCGCTGGAGGAGCTGGCC